TCACATTGTTAGCTGATTTCTGTTAGCTGGACTCCTTGAACTTTGAGTTTAATCATGTAGTTAAGTTAGGGCTAACTCCAAAAGTGGAACAGCTCAAAGGAACTTTTTGCATTCAAGGTATGTATATTTATGTTTTCTTCAAATTCTCTAAACTAAAGGTGAAGAACAATGATGTTTTAAGCGAGTTTCAGATTGCAAGGGGTGTTTAGTCACGCAATCGCGAAACAGTGATTTTGCATATTTAATGAACCAAAGTTAACTCTTTCTCAAAGCGTGTGAATTTATTTGCCCAAAATAAATAATACATTTCTGAAAAGGGTAGTTTCCCAATAGTGCTTGTGCAAAATCCCATAAGATTTGAAAGGATGGCAAATGGAGAAATCTGCCACTTTTTACATGCAATGACAAACATTAAAAATCAGTACCCGTCGCTCTTTATTGTGCACAAATGTGTTCAGTTGTTCAATTATCATAAAACCACTATTAATAAACGAGGGAGTGATGTAGCTTTAACAGAAAGTATAATAAGGCTATTTGGATTTAGGGTTTGGATACCAGGATTAAGTAAAAATACGTAATTTCGGCCATTTTCGATTGCGAAAATCGGTCCTCACAGCTGAAACATTTTTTTGCCTTTTTTCATAAACAAAAGAGTATTTTTAAAAACTAACCACATAACGTTTCTCACTTCACCATAGTCAACTTATATTCAAAAGTAGAGCGAATTTAAAATTTTGAGCCTTGCCACATATTTCTCATTTTGTTTGATTTTTGTAGACAGTCGCTCTTAAGTCTCATTGCGCCCCCATGCGCCCTGGAATTGGGAACGGGGTAAGTCTCATTGCGCCCTCATGCGCCCTGGATGACACGTCAACTTCCGGGCACGATTGTCTAGCGCGTATTTATCGGGTTGCCTAGCAACGGTCACGAGTATAAAGTGCAAAATTCGGGCTTTCAAACGATACATCATGCGAGAAAATTGATCAAAAGTTTGCGAAGATTTTCGATTTTAAAACTCTATTTTTTTACAAAACCTGTGACAACCGCAAAGTGTCACAAGATAGGACTTTGCAGCAAGTTTTAAGGATGAAAAAGAAGAGGTTTTTAAAGTGTTTTACATATAAAATATATTGTAAAACATAAGGGAGTGTGCATATGTTTCAAGTCAAGTTCTTGTCCAAATCAAGTCGCGCGATTTTCAGCCAGAAAAACAGCAATTTCTTTCAATCTAACGGAAAAGTGAAGTGGGAAATCGCAAGAAACATGAACACTAAATCCAAGTGAGTAGTTACGATTTTTTTGAGCGTGTTTTTGAATGAAAATACCTGGCATGTTTTCATGAAATACGATATAGCATTAAAGCAAGTTCAATCTAGTTTAAAACTAAGTTTTTAGAAGAACTTTTCGTGCATTTTATGGCATGATTTCGACTGTTTTCGTGACCCTAATGTTGGTCGTCTTGCTCAAGTTGTTATTTTAGCCGAAGTACTTTCAGAAGACAGTAGGTTCAACTTGTCATGTGCGTATATACATTTTTGGCAAGAAAAATTTCGAGTAAAACCGCATTAAAACTAAGTAGAATACTCTACAATGAATACTATATCTGTTTCTATAAACTTTGTCTCGCAACGAGCTCTCATTTCAGAGATAATGTGGTTTAAAATCAGTGTATTGAATTATGCCGTTACTTGGCGCGTGCGAATTCTGAACCTTCATGACAGGGATTTGAAAAGCTTCTAAAATACACTTTATTGCTTCATATATCCCCATAAAATTTTTAAATCAATAAAGCACATCATAAAACTAATGTACGCTCATTTTCTAAGAAATACTCATCGATTACCTGAAGGAAAAGTTTAAAATAGGTCAGGAGAGAATGCCGTTCTCCTCTGAAATGGCTTCTTTTGCGGGAAGCCATTAAATTTATGTACTTTCCAAAATTGTAATTTAGTCGCTTTTTTGGTCTCATTGTTCACTTATTTATCATGGAATTACTTCGCTTGAGCTCTTTTAATAATATCTGCAAGATACTTTGCTATTTGGTGAAATAAAAGCTATATTTTTAGCAGTTTATCTTTTGAAAACTGCATGCGCAACAAAGTGTCACCAATGTGTTTACTCTCGTCTGACAAACAACCAAAGATGAAATACTTTATTTCACTCTTTTATAGCAATCTAAAATGCCTAAATATTAGATTATTCATTTTATTTGAGCATACATATTATATTTTTATACAATTGGTCCTTGAAAAGGACTTATTTCAAGCTAGAGTCAGATTTCAAACTAGAGTCAGATTTCAAAAGAAACCGCCTGTCTGACATTTTACAGCAACCTACATTCGCGCGCACAACGTTTTAGCCACAAATCCGTTGTTTTCTCAACAGAAACAAAAGGAATTTCAGTTAAAATTCTTACCTGATGAATATTCAAAAGTGTTTATCTCTTTTTGACGACTTTCAGTGCTCTTAATAGCGAAATAAAAAGCCTTTTGTTTTGTCACCGCACGCTGCGTTTGAAAATGCCGGCTGTCAAAGTCAGAATTGAAAACACCTCAAATATTTTAAAATTTTCTCACCTTTTTCATCCTTTGTTTATATTTTAATTAGTAATTTTTGTACTTCGTGTTTTTCCAAACATATTTGAGCTATTTAAAAACTTCAAAGAGGTACAAACACTGTGTTTTTGGGTTACAGAATTTTTGGACTTGAACAACAAGTTCTGAAGTTCAAGTTCTCCATTGTAAACTAGATGTCCTGAGTATGCCTGAGCTATGCCCAAGCAAATTTTTATAGCGTTTCATTATTTTGTAATTTATACCCTACAAGATGAAAACTAATTTGAAAATAAATGTGTACCAATCCAGGAATCAAAAAATATTTCTCCATTTATGTTGGGTTATTGAATTATTGCCCTTCAGATGTTGGGTGTCATGAAGAAACAAAATGTCAGAGACTTAAATTTACACAAACCAAGAATTCTCACCCAAAAATCTAATGATATATTTAAGTGTGGGAGCTCATTTAAAATAGAATTGATTAATCATTTATCATTTTAACCCACTGCAAAATTTCAAGGTTTTTTATAACATTGATCTTGAAATATGGGTATTTTTGTAAAAGCAGTTGACAGTAACTAAAATTCGCCATTTTCCTTGCAACTTGGGGAGTGCCAATGTTGCAACAGTCTGCAACTTAATGAGTTAATAAATGTCTATGAGTAAAATACGATATAGGAATAGTGTAGTTGTATAAGAAATTAAAATTCCTATAAGAATTCTTATAGGATATGATAATGGTGAAAAAATTCCTATAAGAAATAGAAATTCCTGTAGGAAGGAGTTATTTCGTAAATTATATTTATCTGTATAATTTTTTATATAAGTAAAGTTCTTATACCCATGCATGTATCAGGCCATAGTGGTATAGGCTATGAATTTTTCCCACCATTATCCAATCCTATAAGAATTCCTATAGGAATTTTTATTTTCTATAGGATTTTTTTTCACCATTTTCAAATCCTATAGGAATTTTCATTTCCTATAGGAATTCCTACAGGAATATTTTTTTGACCATTTTCAATTCCTATAGGAATTCCTATAGGAATTGAAATTCCTATAGGAATTCCTATAGGAATTTTCAATTCCTATAGGAATTCCTATAGGAATTTTGATTTCCTATAGGAATTCCTATAGGAAATTTTCGTAAGGGTGTGGGGGTGTGAAAAAGATTGTTGAATCTTAAAAGAATAATCATGTGATAGTAGGGTCAATATAGCACTTGACCGCAAAAAAATTGCAAGCAAACGTTTTATGGTATTTTCCTGCAGTATTGAGTCTTGTGAACAACATATCAAAAGTTTAGAAAAATTTAGGTCACAGAAAGGGTAAAAATGTGACGTCATAAACAAGATGGCCGCCAAATCATAATATTTGTTATATCTCGCTTCATATTTGACATAGGGTGACAATATTGGTGTCTAGCTATAGGTTTTAGGGGTCAAGGAATCCATCAAGTCTATTCATGAGGTTGTAGGGGAATTGCTTCATGGGAAATCCAAGATGGCCGCCACGACAGCCCCAAGCTTACAGTTGTGGTGTCTATCGATAGGTTTTATTTATATGTTACTGTGGAAATAACCTGTCAGTTCGGCTTTCGCGCGTACGATCTCATTGTTCTTCGTCATCGTCTTCATCTAGTATTGGTCCCAGTGTCATGTTGTCACAGTTCCCTTCTTGACAAGGTCCGCATGCACTTGTACAATCAAGCCCATGTTTTTTACAGGTACATCTTAGCGTGTTACAACCAGTGGAACAGTTGCAGTGGATCATTTTGAGGAGAACCTCGGGAGCATGGTCCTTATCCATCATGATCGGAATGAGTTTGTCCCCTTGAACTTTAAATCCCCAGTCGTTAGAGACCATGTCCTCACTTATGCCCATCCAGACCATAACTTGGTAATGCGTCCTCAGCGAGTGAAATCTAGTGGCAGAAGCAGTTGGCGGAAGTCGTTCAGGTGTGACGAATGTCTTGGCTCTTGAAACTTTCTTACAGAGCGAATTGTACCTAAGGGTTGCGAGAGATTCGTTTTGATTCCCATTAAACAATGAAACCATTGCCTTACAGCCAGCACTTTCAACGGTATCTCGATCTTTGTCTGGTGAACAAAAAATCTTTGAACATGTACGAAACACGGATTCCCCCTTGATAATTTTTTGAAAAACGGATTTTTTGCCAATCCCAAAGATTCTTGAAGTCGTATCGCAACCTGTGAACGCATGAACAAACAGCAGATCAGTACATAAATCATCACCTAATATCTGTTTGAGAACATTGATGTTGTACACATATTGTTTTGTTTTATCCCCGGTTTTATCTGAACGGAAGTAGATCTCATGGCTGTCCTTAAGAGTCGCATGATACA